GCTGCCGTGAAAACCTCCTCAATGTCTAGAGAAGCTGGATGAATGTTAGCCGTTAGCTTGTAGCCGTTTTAGAGGTTTTAATCTCAATGAGACTTTTACCTGGTTAAATATAGGATATACATATATATATATATATATATATATATATATATAAGATGTAGGTTTTATGTTGAGACGTGTTTTTCTCTGTGTCCCCTCAGAGTCTCCAGAACCAGTCCAGTGACATCCGGCTGGTGTCAGAGAGGGTTCTGTGGTGGGTGTTTAGAGAGGAGGAGACCCCCTCCATGGAGGCCAGCCTCATCAAGCCGCTGCTGAAGAGCCTGCTGGACAACACCAAGGACAAGAACACCAGCGTGAGAGCGCAGAGCGAGTACACCATCGTGAACCTGCTGAGGCTCAGGCAGGGGGACACCACCATGCAGGTCAGGATGCTTACTGTTACAGAATATTACAGAACAACCCGGCTTCCAGCCTCTCCCCGTGAAAAAAAACACAAGTCAAGGCCTATAACGGACCGTCCACACAGCAGCGTTAAAAAAATCTTGGAGGTGGGCGTATCTGAAGCTTGGGGATTTTTTGCGAGCAAGGCACCAACAACCAATCACATGAATCTCCCGCCCCCGACATACGAAGCAAAAAAGTTTGAAGTAAACTGGATATAAACTCCCCAAACAGGCGAAAACATACCACTGTCTCTGCCACCTCCCTCCATGCCTGGCTCCTCCGGTTTATATCCCGGTAGGTAAATAGGGACTGGTCATAAAGCACCGGGTGATTCGCTACCGCTAATTTCTCCTCCATTTTTTGGAATATGAGGAAATGACCTGCGGTATGTCTCTCCCAGCATACACGCCGTTTGATTGGCTAGAGCTTGAACTGTCAGATTTGCGTACACAGGATTTGATTGGCTGACGCTTCCACCTCAGCCTCAAAAGTTAAACATTGCTCAACTTTGAATCCTGAAAATCCTGAAAATCTCCGCTCGCCTGCCCACAATGCAGTTCGGCGAAAAGTGAGGCAAAGTGACGTCACCCCATTCAAAGTGAATGGGCAGAAGCGTTTCAAGATTTTTTTAAACGCTGCTGTGTGGACGGTCCGTTATACATTACATTACATTTTTAGCTGACGCTTTTATCCAAAGCGACTTACAATGACAGGGACATTCTCCCTGGAGTAACTGAGGGCTAAGTGCCTGACTCAAGGGCACACTAGTGGTGGTGTTCCAGGTGGGATTTGAACTCGCAACCTTCCAATCTTCAGCCCACCTCACTATCCATTAGACCACCACTACCCCTTTACAGTACATTATATCAAAGTACTGTACATTACAATACAGTACATTAAATTATATTAAACTACAGTGCAGTACATTACAGTACATAACAGGACAGTACATAACAGGACAGTACATAACAGGACAGTAAATTACATCACAGTACATTACATAATAGTACAGTACATTGCAGTGCATTACATCACACTACAGGACATTACATTACATCACATCACATCACAGTACAGTACAGTCTGAAGATTCCCACATCATCTTTCACCTTTCATTTGCACAACATATAACCCAAAAAGCAACAGTTGTCCTCATGTGTCCTGCTCCTCTTCCTGTGTTCCAGAGTGTGGCGGCCATCTTAGACTCAGCCAGTAACGACCTGCTGTCAGACTGCCACCGCCGCTCTCTGAAGAAGATCTGCAGCCTGCCAGACTCCAACGAGGAGATTGACGACACCATCCTGACGTGATGCAGCACGACTGGGCTATGAAATGATCTACAGTGCAACCCCACACACACACACATGTACACGCACACACACACACACACACACACCAAACATGCCCAGGTTGCCTTTCATGGACCAAGGCTGAGATGTGTTTTCCCACTAAATCCCCCAAAAACTAATTTTCTTTTTGAGTCATTGTTTTAGCGGCCTTTAAAACCCCATTTATACCTTTTTTTTAATTTTATCTCATAATGTGCAGGTTATTCTCTCCTGCATTATAAAAGACACAATGCCAACTTTGTTTGATGTTACAGTGTTTTGCTACTTCATTTTACCCAAAGGATTTCAGTGATTGAAGACGCCGCTGTGAGGAAACCCCTGTCTTTAACTTTTATTTGGACTTTGTGTGTGAGAGTGGTTTGGGGGAGAATGCAACCTCTTATGAGAATACAAACTATTCTTATGTCAGTGAAACGGTTGTAAAAGAAAAAAGGCTAAACTAAATAAAAGGATCTTGATTTCATAATGTTGTGTGTGAAATGTTGGAGTTTGTTTTCTTCCGGACTTTAAGTTCTCTGTGCGCTACCTGCTGAGAGCGTGAGGTTATTCACATTATCAGTATGTGTGATTATATTCAGACACGATGCATATATGCAGGAGGATTTGCAGATATCAGAAACCTCCTGAAGGGTCTGGAAATCTTATTCGGGCGTCTTGTGCATTTTTAGGTTTCCCTCCAGTAGTGTGTTACACAGGTTTTAGTGCATGGTCTAAAAAGGTTCAAACCCCTTTGTTCCCTCCAGAAGGAGTTTCTCTCCCACACACTCCGGAACACAGTGACATCACTCCGGAACACAGTGACATCACTACGGAACACAGTGACATCACTCCGGAACACAGTGACATCACTACGGAACACAGTGACATCACTACGGAACTCTTGTGCTCCTATTGGCTAGCGCTCCAACACACTGGGTGTTTCTCAATGTCGAGGACGCTTCCTTGGTAGGACATGTCCCTCCGAGTCAGGTCCTTCAGAAGCGAGGCAAGAATCCTTCCTAGCATTCGGAGAACGAAGAGTGGAACAGGCTAGCAAGTGTGCAGGTGTGCGTCCTATGAGAGGCCCCGCCTTAAATTCTCTGCCAAAGATTTGGGAAATTGGTCCGTGCGCAAAGCAAAGCATTGTGGGGATTTTAAGACCGCGGAGGCTACACATGTGCAGCCTCGAAATTTCCCGCAACGAAGGACGCTGGACTCGGTAGAATTCCAAGCATCCTGGACATTGGAACAGTCCTTCTGCGGGACTCGATGACGTAGCATCCTTGAAATAGTGGCTCTGGAGCAGCTTTCCTCGACATTGAGAAACACCCACTGTTTGTGATAGGCTAAGGGGCGGGACATCTCTAAGTGGTTGACCAATCACAACAGAGCCGACCAGCTAACCAATCAAAATGCAGTAAAAAAATATATCTTCCTCTAATGTTCCTTTAAATTGTACACTAAAACTGGTATTCCTTAACATTTGGACTTTATTTTGTTAATGAAGATTTTTCTTAACATTAAATCACTATCTATTATTTTTGACATTTGGAAATGTAATATTTTCTTAACATTTACACTTGTTATGATTATTACATATATTTTTATGTTTACAAGTTGTTTTTATTATTACATTATTATTGTGAATTCATTCTCAAAATATTAAAAAATAAATAAATCTTCCTCATATAACTTTTCTAAAAACGTGTTTTTACACGTGTGTCAAACTCAAGGCCCGGGGGCCAAATCAGGCCTGTGGTGGATTTAATTTCGGCCCGCAGGATAATTTGTAATTACTATTAGATCTGGCCCGCCGGTATATTGCACGCACACCTTCACTCAATCCTGAGGGTCTCCTCAGCTCAGAGCCTGAGCCCAAACATTGATGAACTTGATCCCAAGATGAGATGCCAAGTATCTGGACTAGCATCACAGAGCAGCACACTGAGTTTAATGGATGTTTCACTTTCTTTCTCACGTCAACAGGGCATGTTCGTTTTTTTCTTTGAGGGAAATAGTTTTTTTGAAGCTGTTGTTGGCCTGTGGAAAAATGTAATCATAAGAAATGACTCTGGAAAAGCTGCAGATAGAGCCATAAGAAATGAATGCAACTGATTTAATGTTTAATGTTGTTTTATAGGTAATAATTTAAGCTTTGTTAGTTCCAGCTTTAATATGTGCAATAAGTTCATTTCAATACGTTTTGCAATAAACAATGAACCAGTCCGGCCCTCAACTAGTACCCATTTTTTTTATTTTGGCCCACTGTGTATTTGAGTTTGACACCCCTGCTGTAATACGTCCCACAGAGCGGAAACATCAAATATGAATTCTCAACATTTCGACTTTATCTCAGAAATTAAAACTGTTTTCTTGACTTTTTAACTTCATTCTCAAAATAAAGAAAGTATATATTTTTTTCTCAACATGTGTGGCCTCTTCAGTAGAAGTCCTCTCCATTCCTGTATTACCACTGAATTAAATCAATATAAAGCGACATCGACCCTGTTTGCAGATGTTGTAAATCACAGGATCAACATTTAGACTTTATTTTCAAAATGCAACAAATAAAATCTTACACTTTTACTGACTAAATGGAAAGAGATCGTCCTCCTTTCATTCATTTCTATCTGAAAGAGTGGTTATTCTCGACCCTCTGACTTGATTGTCAACCTTTTTACTTTATTCTCAACATTATTCTCAACATTTCGACTTCATTCTTAAAATTTGGACTTACATGTTCATATAGACTTTATTTATTTATTTTCTGAAAGCTTGGGTTTATTCTCCAAATTAAAAAATTATAATACATTTTTCTAAAAGCTTGTTCATTCTTCACCCTCTGACTTTATTTCCAGCATATTTTCTTTATTTTAAAATATTTTTTCTAAACATTTAGATTTTTTTTTCCTATTTTCTTTTACTTTTAAATATCCAAAAATAAAATAAATCTCAACCTGGCTGGCCATAACTACTACAAGTCCTCTCCATTCCTGTATTACCTCTACATTTCAGAATTAAATGGACATACATGGCCCCTGTTTGCAGATGTTTGTGTACCTACCGCACTGCAGATGGAAATGAGCTATTAGCTAAAAATCTGGCATAACTAATCTCTTCTCTTTTCTGAGATGAATGTATTTGTATGCATGGTTCTCGTTGAAATAAATACATAATAACCGCTACAGCAGAGTTTTTCAGAGGCATGATGGGGTGGTGCTGCTGTGTCCGGGCGCATGCGCAGTGTCTCCGGCTCTCAGAGGGTGCAGCAGCAGAAGGAAGCGGAGTTTCCGGCTGTTCGCAGCGGAGGGAGAGCACTGCTGACGCCGCGAAACCCCGAGAGAAACACCGGCGGCTCGGGGGGTTGGATGCTAACTATCTATAGTATCGGTACTGCTGGTTTGTTTTCTTTCATATCGTGTGGATCTGGGGTGATTTGTGACAGAACACCGAGTACACAAGGCGGGGGTTGAGGAGCCACCAGCTACCGGCATGGCCAGGGACTACGATTACCTCTTCAAGCTGCTCATCATCGGGGACAGCGGTAAGGAAACACCGGGGATGAGGGACGGGAAGTAGGCCTTGACTTGTTTTTTTTTCTCCAAGGGGGGAGGCAGAAACGCAGCTGGAGGCTCGGGTTGTTCTGTTATGTTGTGTTAGTAGTTAAATGTGTGTTTATCTGCATTTAAATTATGGTGGATTTGTACACATTCGTCATGTTTCTGTGGTACAGGGCGGAGGTTGTGTCTCAGGCCGGATATAAAGACTTCTGATCTCGGAAGATATTTTCTGGTCCTGTTTTTATATTGGCTAATGCTATTATTTTAGCTCAACAACTCAACACACTCTGTAACCGGAATAACTGTACCGGGGCTCCTGTAATTTAACTATAGTGTGTATCCCCTGTTAGCTGTGTTGGCTAGTTAGAGTGATGCTAACACTACACTTCCAGGATTGTGGCTAACTGTTAGCTTACGATAGAAATATTTGATATAGATAGATATATAGCTACATAGATAGATATATATATATGGATAGAGATAGATATATGTAATCTAATATATCTGGTTTCAGTTTGTTAATTTATTTGAGTGGACGAGTTTTGCTTATGAGTTTCTATTGCTCCATAAATCAGAAAATACTCTCAAAAGCCAGAGGACAAAATTCCCTTTTCACCATAATTTAAGAAAAATAATGTTCTATAAATCAGGTTATTTATGATATATATGAACTAAACCCCTCGATTTAAAGAATAATTAAACTGGAGTTAAGTTTAATTGGAGATTTCTGGCTCAGAATATGAAAAAGTGGGCATTTAAATAAATAGAAATTGCCATTAAAAGGTTTGTTCTGTAAAAATCAATTTATTTAAAATAAAGACTAGAAGGGGAAAGGGGCAAACATCTTGAACAACATCTATCACCATCATGACACTTCCCCAGTTCAATAGATAGATACTAGATAGATAGGTACTAGATAGATAGATAGGTAGATACTAGATAGATAGATAGATAGGTACTAGATGGATAGATAGGTAGATACTAGATAGATAGATAGATAGGTACTAGATGGATATATATATAATAGATAGATATATATATATAATAGATACTTTTATTTATCCCAAATTAGGACATTATTTTGTCACAGCATCAGATTTGTTAAGCATTACACGAGTTACAAATATTTAAAAGATGGGATACGACACATATAATACACATAAAAGATAACATTACCTGGGGGTATACACACATTCACAATAGAGAGGACATATATCACTAGAGTATCTAAATAATACACACAATATTGAATACAGAAATATACTACAGACACATATTGCCATTGGATTATATAGACATTACAATTTTACCAAAAGTACGTGTTGTACAGATTGTCCTCGGTTCTAGAAAATGAGAGACTTTGCTGTCAGAGCTGAGCTGTTTACAGGTTATTGGGACTAAGTAACTAAGTAGATACACCCGAGTACTGTGCTTAAGTTCAATTTTAACGACCTCACTTCAATTCAGAGGTACATTGTCCTCCACTACATATATTTAATACCTTTAGTTAATTCACAGATGTGGATGAATGATGTGAAATATAATCAAGTGTTAAATCAGACTTTAGTTCCACCTGGAGTAAATTCACAAGCTACCCTGCAGTATACAAAGTCATTCAAACTAGCTGCACCTTTACCAGCTTTGATAACACTTTCATGATCAATCATTATAAAACATATCATATGATGATCATACTTTTCTACTTTTACTTGAGGAACATTTTGAATGCATGACTTTTACTGTAACAGAGTATTCCTACACTTTAATGCATCAATAATTATAATCAGAACATGTCATATATATCATTATTATAGTCTATCAGTGGTCGTAGAGCCTAAGCTTCTTTATTATGTTAAACACTAAAGCAAACAGGTTAATGCATAATCAGTTTTTCCCCACTAAAGTGAGACCATGCCTTGTTGACGGGCTCCACCCTCATTCTGCAGGACTTTTGTTTGTAGTCAATGATCTTTGCATTCATTGATAACCCCGATCCTGGCACCACCCCATCAGCTGCTGCTCACACACACTCTTTACTGCCCCTCACACACAGGGCCAGTGTCCCCTCAGCTGCAGAATACATCTATGAGTGTGTGTGGAGATGATTTAGGGAAGATGCTCTGACCTCTGTGTGAGAATCAGACACACACTGTGAGTCTCCAATCTGCACCAAGGCCCAGTTTTATCTCTTCCAGCCACAGTAGCACATGCAGGTTTGACGCGTGTTATGTAACGTAAAATGTTCCCCCAGGCTGTTAAAGGTTTATTGTAATGAACGGTTTCATCACTGACACTCAGAGGGATGGTTTTTCTAAAGGAGGTTGTGCTTTTTTAACTTGCCCAGAATCAATTTGCCCTTTTTATTAATTGTTTTATTTATTAGACGATACCAAAGAGGATTAGATTCAGCTTTATTGCCATTGCACAGAGACAGGATGTGAAACAACAAAATGCAGAGTGTGTGTTCATGTGTTTAGGACTCAAATGTGAGATATGAATACTTTATGCAGTACGGTATATATTACAGTATGGATTAAGGTTCATCGTACAGTAGAAATACAGTGTTTACACTAGATTAGATATATATATATACACCGTAAAGACAGTAATAAAGTATAAAAACTCAACATAGATGAGTATTAAGATGACTCATGATATCTAGCATCATCAGCTCCAGAGGCTTAAGAGTTGTTTGATTTACTAACCTGACGTTGCATCTTATTTGCGTCTTGTTGAGCTCTGAGAAGTTTTTATTTAGTTTGGATTTGAAAGCTTCAGAAGCTCAGCAAGATGGAGCTCTCTGTTCGGCTTTGAAGCGTTGGTTATTGTTCGTTAGTCCACAGGAACCTGAGAGCTTTTATGTTCGACCAATCAGACGCGAGATGACAAAAACACAATAGGAAGACTGAGTCACCATCCAGCTGAAACCTGACAACAAATCTGAAGAAGACGCCACTGATCCTCCTCTTCTCCTCCTCTCTTGTTCCTTCTTGAAAACCTGTGTATTATTATTACGCACGATAAATTTAGAAACCCAGATATTTTTATTCTTTCTGTTTGTGGCTTTGACACCTTCACATCTGCAGCTGATGCCGTGATAACACATCTGTAGATACAAGCTCGAGCGGCCATTTAGAGTTCTTTTCATTCATCTATTAATATGTAGACTGTTATTTAGATATCTAGATGAATCAATTCGTCTATAAAGTGTCCATCCTGCTTTCTCAAAGTCAAAGGTGATTTCCTTAAATGTCTTGTTTTGTCAGTCTTCACTTACGTATGATTTAAATCAGAGAAAATAAAAGGGAACGCTCCTTATTTGAGAGGCTGAAAGCAGCATTTTAAAGAGTCCTTTTTAATTGACTAAGCTGCTCTAAATGATCACGTAGCGTGCACCCTTTCCTACCTTTATCCTTGTTCACTCCACAGGTATCACTCTGTGTGTTTAAGGACTACATCTTAAAGCACACGGCATCACAGACACGGTTTACATCTGGTGTTTAGTTTGCAGCCCACAGTGGTTTCACTCTGACAGCCAGAACGTAATATGAAAAACTGCAACGTGACATTTTTGGATGCTCAAAACCCCCTCAACTTGTTGTACACATTTCAGAGTCAAATGGAAAGTAACACACTCGCATGTTTGACTTGTTAACCTGTTTCCCTCTCGCTCTAATCCCATGTGTGTGTTCCTCCTCAGGCGTGGGGAAGAGCAGTCTCCTCCTGCGATTTGCAGACAACACGTTTTCAGGTGTGTACATCTTCCTCTCTCGTTTGGGGCATAAACACATAATAAGGTCTTTGTTTAGTTCCCATACATGTGGGGAAATTAGAGCTGTGAAGATCAATCAATCAATCGCTCGTCAACTGTTACATGAATCTCCACATTTTTGATAATTGACTTGTAGGGGTGGAGAGTTTGTTCCTACTCAAAACCGTCTCGGTCGAAGTTATTAAATGTGGAAAATGTTTGTTTTTTTTACTCGTCTATGACGGCAAACTGAATGTGTTTGTGTTGTGGACAAAACCTTACATTTTAGGAGTGTGGAGATCTACTTCCTCCTCCTCTGTTGAATAATCTGAACACCTTCCTCTCTGTTGTTGTGGCTCTTAAACGTGTGTGTGTGTGTGTGTGTGTTTTACAGGTAGCTATATCACCACGATCGGCGTGGACTTTAAGATCCGGACGGTGGAGATCAACGGGGAGAAGGTGAAGCTACAGATCTGGGACACAGCAGGGCAGGAGCGCTTCCGCACCATCACCTCCACGTGAGTCCACACACACACACACACACACACACACACACATACACACAGAGAGAAACACACACACAGAAACACACACACACACAGAGAAACACACACAGAAACACACACACACACACACACACACACACTCTACAACCCTGATGATGGGTGATATTCTGGGGTCACACCGATGTATATGAGACTAGTTTCAGGACAAGACATGAACAAACTTTAAGGCACAATCTATTATTATTCCAGCGTCGGGAGGGTTACTTTAACACACACACACACACACACACACACACACACACACACACACACTCCCACACACACTCTCTATCTTCAAGGTGATGCTCCATATATTCCTTTCAGCCGTTGAATCTGAAACTGAAAAATGTCTTTTGGCGGTGTTTGAGGAAGTAGTTTGCAGACAGTAGAACGAGGCGATGGTGTGAGAGACTGAGTGGAAGTCCCCAGAGATCCAGATTGATATTTCCTCCATGAGAGAGAGTGTTGGAGGAAGTATTCAGACGCTTTACTGAGGTGAAAGTACCAATACATCAATGTCAAAACAGTCCATTACAAGTAAAAGCCCAGCATTGAAAATACTCACTCAAGTAAAATAATTTTCAGCTACATGTACTTAAAGTATAAAAAGAAGACTGTGTATAATTATATTTATATACGTGACATTTCTAGATAATAAATGCATCAAGTAGCATTTTACTGTTTGTAAAATATGTAAATAATTGGACTCTTTTGTGACTTAAAGAGTCCACTAGTTACTTTTTTAGAGATGCATTTTGTTAAAAGTAGCTGAAGCAGTTTAATAAATGTAGTGAAGAGTAGATTAGGATTAAATGGAAATACTCAAGTAAAGTGCAAATGTTACCCCTCCTGCTCTGAGTGTGTGTCCCACTGCTGATGGGTGATATTCTGGGTTCACACCGATGTATATGAGACTAGTTTCAGGACAAGACATGAACACACTTTAAGGCAAAATCTGTGATTATTCCAGCGTCAGGAGGGTTACTTTAGAAAGGGAATCTGATGCGTTTAATAGTTGCCTGTTAAAAAATGTAGCCTCTTACACTCAAGACTAGCTCTGGAGGGAACACAGGGATTTTAGCCTCTGCAGACCATTTACATGCACTAACACCTAGAGAACACACTCTTTAAACCACTGACTGATGGTGATCTAATGGCGCGTTTCCACTACAGCGCGCAGCACGGTTTAAGAGGGCTGTGACGTCAGCGGCCCGTCTTTGGTTGCGTTTCCACTTGGCCTAGTACCGGCCGGCGGGTCCTAATTCACAGTTTTTCTGGCCTCATAAAATCGTGGGTCTAGGGCCAGAGACAACGAGGCTGAGTCGGGCTGAGTATGCTAAACTAGAGAGAGCATCGCTGGCAAGGGGGCTACAACTACAACAAGATGGACATAGTTGACCGTGATTTAATTGTAATACACGTTTCAAAATGATGCCGAAGTAACAACATACTGATACCGGTTAGTAAAAACCATGAATTAATGCTTTGACAAGTCTGCAGACAGACGGCAGGCGAAAAACCTTTTAAAATGCGTGTTTTCTAAATGGAGATTGGCTAAGCTAACGCAGTATATGCTCCGACCGTCCACACTCACAACAACTGGTACTAATGCTGGTAACTTTACAACCCTCTGCATCAAAATGACAGAAGTGTTACGTAACGCCTCGTCATCTCCTCCAGCCGCTGCTTCTTGGCGAGGATACTCTTCATCAAACTGCCTCCGAGTCCATTAGCGCTCATAGATAGTTGATATGACGCAGCGGCCCATTTGTTCTGATGTGTGTGTGAAGCAGAGAGCCGCGGGGCCTCGTTAGATCCTGAATACTATCAGAGTGGAGCTGAAACACAACCAGAGACCTGATCTGCAGACTCAGACCAAATCAAGACCTTGTGAAGACCCAGAAAGTACAGCTTTTTAAAAGAGGCTCTGTTCGGCTTTTTGTGGTTTTCCCTCTCCTGTAGTGTTCTATAGGTTTTAGTGCATGTAAATGGTCTGCAGAGGCTAAAATCCCTGTGTTCCAGTATGTAGTGAGGTTTATCGTACAGTAGGAATACGGTGTATACACTATAGATATTTTATACCAAGTTTCTCTCCCACACACTCCAGTCTTTTTGTACGGATTTCATTTGAATTAGATACGTTTGTTTAGAGATTAAGCACGCGCGTTTACACTTATTAGTATTGACTTTTTGGAGCAATAAACACATAATAATGTCTTTGTTTAGTTCCCATAAATGTGGGGAAATTAGAGCTGTGAAGATTAATCTATTGGTCGTCAACTGTTACATGAATCTCCACATTTTTGATAATGGATTTGTCGGGTTGGGTTAGTCAAAACTCTCTCGATCGAAGTTATTAAATGTTGAAAATGTTTGTTTTCTTCACTCGTCTATGACCGAACACTGAATATGTTTGTGTTGTGGACAAAACCTTACATTTCAGGATGTCATGCTGGGCTTTTGGAAACACTTTCCCCCATTTTCGGATGTTTTTTAAGCCCCAAAAATGTAATGAATTAAGAACACGTTAAAAAAAATATATATATCAACAAGGAGGATACACTTTTTTACTGTTGGGAAATAACACACTCACCAAGAACAAAGTGTGTCAAGACAGACAGGAAGTGATCTTAGAGCGATGACATGCAACACATATTCTGAGTCAGACTGGAACCCTAAGATAAGACCTTTATTAATCCCCGTGGGGAAATTCAGTCGTTTAAACATCAACAGGTTAAGAATGAAAAGCAGGACAGCATTAATTAATTAAATTAAAATATCACGTCACACGGTCAGCGCCTTGACCCCCGCAGCCACAGGTCAAACTGTGATTTATATGTGAGGCAGGAGAGCAGTTTATTGTCTTTTTTTACTACCTGTGTGTGCAGAGAGGGTTGCTGCAGGTTGGGCCCCACTCTGCTGTTGTATGTGCGTGTGTGTGTGGTGGTTTATGGTTCTCATGTGTGTCATGTCCAATAAACACTCGCACACACACATCGACACATGTTTTACACATTTGGGAAATGCTCTAACAGTGTATCCACACACTGTCACACACACACACACACACACACAGTGAGACAAAGGGGTATTTGTGTGTTTTGTGAGTGCAGTCGTCTGGGGGATGCTCTCTTTCTGGTTTTTGGTGCAAAGTAATTGTATTTTATTAAGTATGTGGTTATTAAATAAACATAAAGACTGTTTATGAGCAACACAAGCTAATTCCTTGTATGTGTAAACCTACTTTTGCAATAAACCTGATTCTAATTTCTATTCTGATGTATGAAATATAAACAAAACTCATTGTGGATCCTCAGAAATTCTTCTTTTTACCCGTTACTTTTATTATTATTATTGAATCTTTTTTGTCTGTGCTTGCTAGTTACTTTCCATGTTAGTTGCCTAAAAGGGTGAAAATATATACGTTTAAACAAACTAAGTTACTAAATGTGTGTATCTCTGTCCTCGTTCAGATACTACAGAGGGACACACGGGGTCATCGTGGTTTACGACGTCACGAGTGCAGAGTCCTTCGTCAACGTCAAACGATGGCTACACGAAATCAACCAGAACTGTGACGACGTGTGCCGAATATTAGGTGAGTTCAAACACACCTCCGATATATATATATATCTCTACTCTGCAGGGAGTAAAGAACTGTCAATGTGAAGGTGGAGAGTCTTTACTGTCAAGTAGCTTAAACATCACTAACCCTTTATGTGCATTCAACTCATATCAAGATGACATACATGAAGCCTATCAGTTAGGTTTACACAAGGTGGCGATTGGCTCAGCTGTGTTTGGTTTTCCTACCAAGCGACACACACACACACACACACACACACACGCACACACACACACACACACTTTACTAAACTTGGCAAAACCTGCCTCCATCTCTTTCAAAATGCTACAAAAACTCTTGAAACCTCTCGACATGTTGAGGAACAATTCAAACCAGATTAGCTTTGTTTATACACCGACAACATACCTGATAAAAGGGTAAACATTATCATAAGATTAGAAGTGTTGTTTCCTCAGAGAGAAACGTATTGTGTTATGGTTATGAGAGGAGAACACAGCCAACCCCCAAATATATGGGCCGAGACAAAAGCAGTTGATCTCAGAAACATGAATAAGACTATCTCGTGCTGCAGACCAGTGGTCCCCAGCCGGTGGGCTGCGAGCGCTGGCCAGGTGGGCCGTAGGATCTTTTTACATTCCACATTTTTTTCTCACTTATTAAACTTCACTTCATATAAACTTTATTGTATTACATGTACAATGGAGCTAATAAAACAGCTCAGATTTAGAAATATTAAATGCCGACTGCTTAAATTCTCATGACTTACATTCAGCCGTCATTGTTTACGGCGTACAGAGCAGCTTTTTATCCTCGCGCCAAAATATTACAAGAGAGTAATGCGAGTGCTGGAGGAGAGGTTTGAGTCATATTTCCCTCCTATGAGTGAAGACTTCGATTGATCCGTTTAATCCTCTCATTAATATCAGCCACTAGTTTAAACAGCAGAGCTCAGGATGAACTCTCAGAGCTATGGACCGCTCCCTGAAACTGAAGCACGGTGAACTACTTCTGGATATCTTTTGGCTGCTTAGTATCCATCCCTCTCAGAGAGCGCTATCAACGTGCTTTTACCGTTTCCAACCTCCTACTTGTGCGAGCTGCCGGTTTCCTCACTCGCATATGTCACAAACAAGACCCGCCCCCGGCTGTCAGTGGAGCAGGACCTCCGCGTTGCGCTGTCCACTACCCCCCCACGCATGAAGAGACTCTGCTCCCAAAAGCAGGCACGTGTGTCGCACTGACATGTGACTATCATAGTTTTATTTTAGTTTTGCCGTTTAAACTGATTAGTCTGTTATAATTATTATTAAAGTGGACCTATCATGCTATATTTGAATAATATAGTGTAGGACCATACCTATATAAGGCATATTTATACTTTTTTTTTTCAAAATACCAAACAGATCATGCATTTTAGCCATGCCTCATTTCGCTCAATTTGACATTTTCTAGCTCTGGGCAGATTCAGTGAGAACAGCACCATCTACAGGCCTGGCCTATGTACTACAGCGTCTCCAGCGCTTTCTAACGGCAATGGCCGTGGCTGTCTCCTCCTGATTGGTGGAGTTGGCCCAATAGCCGTAGCGCTGACGTCAGGACAGTGTTCAAATCTGGATCAGTTTTTATCAGATCCGTTGCAGCCCCTTTTTTAGAGATTTGGGTATGGAGGAAAATAGAGAGGGTTGTGTTTTCTGACACTTGGTGAGTTCCCTGGAACACCGGGGACACATATTCATGTAGAAAAGACGTACAAAAGTGCATTTTGTATGATAGGTCCCCTTTAAGTTATTATTAATTTTAAGTTATCATAGGCCTACCTCTTTTGAAATCCAAATGTAAAATAATAACTCAGAAGGAGAGTCGTTTTTAGTCTGGTTCTTGTCATTATATGATGGATTATATGGTTTTTAGGATGACTTATATTTGATTATTTGTTATATAAAATGTTCTATTAAATTAAATACACATTTGAAAACCAATGTATGGTGTATTTATTGTTTGTAGTTTAAGCTCTGAAGTGGTTTTTAAATCTACGAGAAGTTGGTGTGCCTTGGGGTCGAGAAATATTTTCAGGTGTGCCTTGGTAAAAAAAAGGTTGGGAACCACTGCTGGAGATCACATATCAACGCTTTTAAATAATGTGAAAAGTCAATATGACCTACTTTCTGAGCTTTCAAACCATTTCAAAGTTGAACTACATTACCCACTTCATATGGCTTTAGTCAGTCCTTGTATGTATAATGAAACATATGATCTGTTAAACCTAATTAGATATTTAAACATCATAACAAACCACTGTATTACTACTCCTACCAGCCGGTCGAAGGCGATGAGTGCATCATCTCACATGACCTCTGAAATATATTCTTTTCCAGTGGGAAACAAAAACGACGACCCCAACTCGAAGGTGGTGGAGACGACCGACGCACAGAAGTTTGCAGAGCAGATGGGAATCAACCTGTTTGAGACGAGTGCAAAAGAGAACATCAACGTCGAAGAGGTGTGTGTGTGTGTGTGTGTGTGTGTGTGTGTGTGTGTGTGTGTGTGTGTGTGTGTGTGTGTGTGTGTGTGTGTGTGTGTGTGTGTGTGTGTGTGTGTGTGTGTGTGTGTGTGTGTGTGTGTGTGTGTGTGTGTGTGTGTGTGTGTGTGTGTGGTGTGTGTGTGTGTGTGTGTGTGTGTGTGTGTGTGTGTGTGTGTGTGTGTGTGTGTGTGTGTGTGTGTGTGTGTGTGTGTGTGTGTGTGTGTGTGTGTGTGTGTGTGTGTGTGTGTGTGTGTGTGTGTGTGTGTGTGTGTGTGTGTGTGTGTGTGTGTGTGTGTGTGTGTGTGTGTGTGTGTGTGTGTGTGTGTGTGTGTGTGTGTGTGTGTGTGTGTGTGTGTGTGTGTGTGTGTGTGTGTGTGTGTGTGTGTGTGTGTGTGTCCTGCTGATCTATTGTGCAGAGACTCATTGTAAACACTAGTGATGTCATGACGACCCATACTTTAGTGCTGAGTCAATGACAACGCATTCAAATCCAGAAAGGACGCAGTCAACTCCTACGCACCCTTATTTTACTCAAGAAATCTACATTTAAAACACAAATCAGTTTTTAAATCAAACAATGATATAATGTGCTCAAATTTAAAGTAGAGACACTACATACTGATATACACCTGAACATCAGCAGGAGAGGACTCTTTAAAGTAGAGACACTACATACTGATATACACCTGAATATCAGCAGGAGAGGACTCTTTAAAGTAGAGACACTACATACTGATGTACACCTGAACATCAGCAGGAGAGGACTCTTTAAAGTAGAGACACTACATACTGATGTACACCTGAACATCAGCAGGAGAGGACTCTTTAAAGTAGAGACACTACATACTGATATACACCTGAACATCAGCAGGAGAGGACTCTTTAAAGTAGAGACACTACATACTGATATACACCTGAACATCAGCAGGAGAGGACTCTTTAATAGAGTGGCGAAGTCCCTCCCCTTCCGGTTGAGCCCCATGGGACCTTATTTCGGAAAAATTATGTATTGAAGTCAATGGAGAGAGAAAGATTATCTTTCGATCCCGTTTGAATTGTGCCACGAATTACACATATGATGTTTGTCAATTTAAAAGATAATTTTGCAAGTCAAAAAAAAAAAAAATGTGTCGTAAAACTGTGAAGTAACACATTTGTTTGTGAAACGCTAAATGAACTACATCTCTGGTCAACAACACACGTCACCAAGATGGCCGTCACTACTGTCTTGTCAACACAAGAGACTACCCTCACTATCACCACAATGAAACACGTCCTGAAGAATGTCATGCAAAGCTGCCTGCCTTCCTTCCTTTGATTCTCTCTGAACTGCCTGGTCGTTTTAATGTTTAATGTCAACCATTTGTGCAGATAGCATGAAGTAGAGAAGATCGCTAGCGTTAGCGTTAGCATTTCTCCCCCGGGCTTAAATTGTGTATTATAGAATGATCACACCGGTGACAGTACTCTTCAAAGGGTTCACGAAATATGACTACTACTCTTACTGTTTAACATTTTGGGTTACTTAATGTTACTTCATGTTAAGGCTAATAAAAATGACAAGGCTGTAATGCTAACTAACGTGCTAGCTACTAGCTAGCTTGATCCACACACTCCTCTTTCATCAGACGGGAAGCAAAAGAACGAGCAAGACCCATTGCTGGTATAATAACAACCTGGTACTAAGCACACAGGCATCTTGTTAAAGTTATCTTATCTTAGCCAGCGCCATATAAATAGATTATATCTATATGGCGCTGATCTTAGCTATCTCTTAGTGGAGGAAAACAATTGTGACATCACTTACGCGACTCTGGGATTTGTAGTCTTTCTAGTTACGTATTTTTCAAAGTCTTATATTTCAACAGTTTTACGACAAACTGTGACCTTTTTGACATGGAAATTATTTTTTAAGATTGACAAACATCATATGTGTAATTCATGGCACAATTCAAACGGGATCGAAAGATAAGTTTTCTCTCTCCATTGACTTCAATGCATTATTTTTCCGAAATAAGGTCCCATGGGGCGGAAGTAAGTGGGAGGGACTTCGCCACTCTATAGACGCCTCTCCTATGGAACCCGTTTTATTACAGAACAGATGTTTGATGTTTGATATGAAACAGATTCCTTCAGTCTGTGTGTGATGTTCTTCCTGCTCTTCTCACCTCGGTGTGTTTCCTCCTCCATCAGATGTTCAACTGCATCACGGAGCTCGTGCTCAGAGCTAAGAAGGAAGTTCTGGCCAAACAGCAGCAGCAGCAACAGAACGACGTGGTCAAACTCACCCGGAACAGTAAACGAAAGAAAAAGTGCTGCTAGCAAACTCAGCAGCAAGCGCCACCAACGAGAAGAGGCCGTCTTCTCTCCACACGCATAAACACAAGAGACTCAGAGCATCTAAATTAAAAAAGAAAAAAAGATTTAATAAATATACGGTGAAAAATAAATAAATAAATAAATGGAGTAAAGAAAAAAAAAAGAAAAGAAGTCCCCTTTGGACGAATTAATCATGAGAGAGAAAAAAGAAATGTACAGATTTTATTAGACGTCAAATCAAGTTTTATTTGGATTTCAGCAGACCTCCTTTTGTTTATACACACATACACATACACACTCTCACATACACACACACACACACACACACACACACAGCTCCTTCTCTGCACACGGGACATTCAGAGTGGAGAACGAGAAGGAGGTCACCTTTCTCTGGATTTACTTGTAGTTTTATGTTATTTTTCAGGGGGTTTATTTTTCTCAACATTTCACACACAGCTCACGCCGACACATCGTGGATCTTTTTGTTTCTGAGGGAAAACATTTTTTTTTTTGCCACTAATCCGACGGACAGAACTGGTCTTGTTTTTTTTTGTCCATATTTTGCCAAGCTTCCCCTCTAATAGTGATGAGCCAACCATTTTGTTTTTTAAGGGCAGTTGAACCTCCTCCTGGACGACTGAAAGCACCGTTCACTGCAGTCTTACATCGCTTTTAAACATTTTTTTTTAAGGAAACAAACAAACAATACTGCCAATATTGTAGAAAAAATAAAATATCAGGAGCTCAGTGGTGCCTCTCGTTTTTGGACTGTTGCCATGAGGCGGGGGGTCTGAATTGCTCCCCCCCCCCCACCTCACTCATCTCCCTTCTGTATCTCTGCATCATTTCTCACATATCAGACCCTCTCTCTCCTGCATTCGCTCCATCAAAGTGCATCTCGCTGTGTTTTAACTCTGTTTGAAGGGGTCAGAGGTCACTGTCTCTCCTCTCAGCTTGCAGAATATTCCCAACGATTCTCTCCGTCACAAAGCCCCCCCCCCCCTTCAGCTTCCTGTTCAACCGAAGTGTTACCGGACAGTGTTTCTATCACGACAACCAGGATGAGAGTGAGACTGTTTAAGGAAAATGTAACCACCCCCAAAAAACATCTGAATTGGAAATATTGAACCGGTTACCTTGAATTTTTGAATAAAAGGCTTCTTTTCTTTCTAAAAATAATTCAAGGTAACACTGGGAGAGAAATGTATACACAAATGATTATTATTTGTGGGTAAAGTTTTCCTTTTTAATTCAAGACAAATTCTGGTGAAGTGTTACGGAAGAGGATTAGGGCCACATATGATTTTCTTTTTTGATATGACCAAAAGGGAAACGTTTTTTGGAGTTCTGAGATAAAAGTTGGAACTCTGACAAAAATCGAAATTGTAAGAAAAAGTTGGAATTCTGAAAATAAAGTTGGAATTCTGGGGAAAAAACTCGGAATTCTGAGAAAAAAGTTGGAATTTTGACTAAAACTTAAGAAAAAGTTGGAATTCTGAGGAAAATAAATTGGAATTTTGAAAAGAAAGTCGGAATTCTGAGAAGAAAGTTGGCATTTTGAGACATTTCTTTGACTCAAATCGAAATTATGAGAAACAAGTTTGAATTTGGAACAAAAAAAGTTGGAATTGGAAAATCGAATTGTGAGAAAAAAGTTGGAATTCAGAAAAAAAGTTGGAATTGTAAAAAAAAAGTTGGAATTCTGAGGGAAATAAATTGGAAAATAGAAAAAAAAATCGGAATTCTGAAAAAAAAATTGGAATTCTGGGATTAAAGTCAGAATTTGAGAAAAAAAATATAATATATATTTTTCTTCTGAAAACAAAGAAATTCGGACTTTGATCTCAGAATAAAACAAAATTCCCTTTGTGTCAGATGTCCAGAAAGTGGCCCTGTTCCTCGTCTGTAAAGCACAGCTCCGGCCTCCTCTCTTTCCACATCACCACATCTCTTTCTCTGACACATATTTCCTTTAAATTGGGAGCGTTAATGAAACGCAGAGCGCCGCCGGCTGAGCTCCTCGAGAGGTGGAGGATATCAAATCTCACTCGTTATGATTTCTACTCGATACGTGTATGTATATATAAATATATTTGTGTGTTTATATTCCGTATAGAACATACACACAGGATGAAACACCGTCAGCTGTGGTTTGCTGTACACTGGAGAAAAAGAGATGTACTATTCATTTTTCCCGACATGAATTTAATCAGTAATAAAACGTTTTAAAGGAATAAATATTTGACACATAATGGCTGATCTCGTGCGTCAGTGATTTGAGGCTCGCTCTTAACTTCATTTTAAACCTGTGTCTTTTTCTTTTCTGTGAATAAAAGTATGAGAGGAAGTGTGAAGCGTCTCGTTGCTGGCCGTCTTTAATCGTCTGTTCGTGTCTTTACTGTCATCCATTACTATCATCACTTATTTACAGTTTTACACACATCACTTTTTACTTTTTCATGGAAGAGCAGGGATTTACAACATCAGGAATTCACGTTATCATTAAAAAAAACAAAGCTAATGCTGAAATACTTATTTAAAACTTAAGTCTGAGTGACTTTTATCAGGTAGTTTATTCAAAGTAATGCAAAGTGTTGACCAAATGAATATTTTGACGAGTCAGATGGACGTCTCATTTATAAGAATTCATCCTGAAGGTGACGAATGTTTTACACAAATTACAGATTATGAGTATAAGAAATCAGTGGTAGTAGAAGTACTCAGGTCTTGTACTTGAGTAAAAGTAGAATTACTATAATATTAGTGTAGTAATACTCTGTTACAGTAAAAGTCCTGCATTCAAAATGTTACTCAAGTAAAAGTAGAAAAGTATTATCATCAAAATATAGTGAAAGTAGTGACAGTAAAAGTATTTACTGAACACTGCGCGGAGGAAAGGCTGACTTCGAGTTAATAAACTAGTTAAAGTGGGATTCAAAATGCATTTTAGCGTGCATTTGGAGAGAGTAGTGGCGTTAGATGTCAAGAAATACACAGACAGCGTCAGAGAGGGCTTCCCACAATGCACCTGTTCAAACTCGTCAAAAATCATATATTGGAAAGATGGATTTTGGAAAAACAGCTGAGCTTGTTTCACCAACAAAACAACAAATGCAAAAATGTACCAGCTGGAACTGTGGCTGCATAAGATAAGTGTTATGAATATATTAGATCTACAGAAGTACACTTTACGATATTTTATTTACAGAAAATATTAAATGTGTCCTAAAACGTTGCACATAATTGTAATATGATGATGGTTTGTGTAACTGATTAGCATATTGTGCGCTTGTATTGCAACCAAAGGTCAAGAAAACACAGTTTACTGCAGGTCCCAATAAATAATGTGTTTTAATAAAGAGAACAGGCAGTAAAACTGTGAGCTCTGTCACTCTCCACAGCCTTAAACTCAACCCAGAATGCATTTCTCACACAAAGACACTTATCAAAGTACTAAAAACATAAATTAATATTTTGATATAACAGTTCTGGCCTGAAATTCTAATTCCCTTAAGAGAAACTAATAATTGATTCATGGACAAAGTTTGTCTTTTGTTATATTTAATAAAGTAAAAAAGAAAGTCAATATACAAATGAAATCAATCTAAAATTCAGGAACAGAGCTACTTCATCCTCAGAGGATACAGAAGTTCTGCTTACAGTCTCACTATAAAGTAGAGAGAAAATATCCAACTGGTCCCACCCATAAATTCTCTTAGGCATCATCTAAACATCCCATCATTAAACCATTAAACTCCTTTAGCCTGTTAAGCGACCCCGGTACCGACGCCCTCCCGCAACATCTTGCAGGAAACAGTGTCTGAGGGCATCTTAATATTTAATAAACTATGAATGTTTTATATCCATGTAACGGGAAGAAACTCATCTAACTGATCGTTTTTTTTTTTTTTCAAAATAAAACCCACAATGCTAACTAGCTTCTGAGTTAGCAACGAGCGAAAAATGCTAACAGATTACTGCACCGAAATTCACTCACTAAACCGTATTATTTATCTTTTCTGCACATCCAACACATCGTTTCACATCGTGAGGTGACACAAAATCGATGGGTGCATACATTATCACTCCATGATACGAACTCGCGACTTTATAAACAAAAACAGACATCAAAACATGTGGCGCTAGGTAGCTAAAAACGCTAACATGGCTTACCTGTGTCGTAGTCTGGCCAAAAGTGGTCTTCAATGGCATTACAACGATAAAAACGCTGCTGAAGTTAATCCATAGGTTAATCCGATGTGTCTGTGTCCCTTTGAAATGATTTCTGATAATCCATGAGCAATAAACCTGCTTTTCCGTTTCCAGATGTCAGAGCTACAGTATAGGTTCGCTCTGATGCAAAACTGCATGCGCGAAGCCCCCACCTTTTTGTTGTACCATGTTAGTGAGTGGGGAGAATCCCCTTTGATTCTATTGGCTCTAACGGTCAGAAAGAGATGTCAATCACCAAAATCGACCAATGGGTTCCAGAGAAATGGTAAAACCCCCATTTCCACCCAAATCACCTCAGAGGTGGAGTTTTTTTTGCTAAATCTCTCTAAAAAGGTCAAATGTCACTTGTTTTGCATCAATATTGATACAGGGTACTTATATGTTGTACTTTGGATTCCTAAAGCTTTTAGTCTACCTTACCATCATCCAAGGGTAGTTTTCACTATAAGTAAAAAATAATTTTTGGACGGACACTATAATTTACAGTTTTTTACTATGTTCAATCTGAATTTTCTTAAAAAAAAACATCTATATTGTTCTGACTTTTCTACATCCAACTCACAGGTTTATCATTACTTTGAGAACATAATTAATTAATTTAACCCTTTTAGAAGGGAAGATATGGTCATTTGTTCTGGGAATGTCATTTTCGAGCCTGAGACCTGAAAAACAGGCTCAGGGCTTAACAGGTTAACCATTTGCAAATCCATAATTTGACATGACACACCACACACAAATAATGTAACCATGTTCAATTAGGAGAATAATAAATATGCGTACCATAAATGAATAATCTATAGTACCTCCAGAACAAAAAGTCATGGCCTCTATGTAAACGGATCCCATCATACACAGAGTCAGTATGTAATGATCGTTAGAGGTAGATCAGTTATTCCCTGATTGGCAGATTCCACCCCCACTGACGGAGGTTCACCATATTTCAAACTTCTTGTCTATCTCAAGGAATGTCCTGTACACAATTTTGTTCCCGAACAGTCTAGAAAAATACAAAAGCAGAGAGCACAGACATCAGTCAGACAGAACAATACGTTGAATAGCAGTTTTATAATGATGAATGATACCTCTGAGAGCCTATGAGTACAAATGGTGCAGTAATTATGGTTTTCTCACCGCACAGAGTGAATGGAGGGGTTGATGGAGACCAGTTGGAGTAAGAGGTCAGTCGAAGCATCAGTGATGTTGTTGTGGCTCAGACTGTAACACAAACACAAACAGAGGAACTTTTATTCATGTAATACATCGGCTGGGCAGTATAGGTACAGTCCAAACAAACATTATGTTCACTTGTATGTCTCCATTAGTTATGTCACTTCTCTGACACCTCCATATGACTGCCTGAGTTCTGATTACAGCGTATCTTCAGACTGATTTTGTACAACAGGTTTCAGTAAACAAAGCCCTGAATCAAATGATCAGACAGAGAGATTCACACCCCAAACTAATGAGTACCTCCACTAAAACCTATTTTCCACATGAACACCTTTGCCACTCACTCGAGGACTTGTACTTTGTGCAGCTGCGCGCTGAGTGTGAGCAGCAGCTGGTCAGTGAGCTGACAGTGACTGAGGTCCAGCTCTGTCAGCTCTTCAGAGAAGTCCAGCATCAGGGCCAAGGCTGCACAGGCCCTCTGATCCAGTGAGCTGTGACTGAGGTCCAGCTCTCCCTCCAGGGCTTTGCAGAGGGTTAGGGCCCGTCCCACTGTGTCCCTCTCACTGTTCACAGGAACCAGGGACACCAGCTGGAGGAGGACAGCTTTACTGGCACTGAACAGGAGACACAGAGCAAAGAGCAAACTGATGTGATGCAGAAAGATGTAGAGAAACAGCTTCTTCTCTGGTTTAAGTCTTAGTGGTCTTCGTACCTGAGTTGTACTTTGTGTAAGACAGGAAACAGCAGGTCTAATCCGCTGTCCTTAACCTCACAGTCCTGCAGGATGAGCTGTGTTCCCCGTCTGCTGCGTCTCAGTATGGTGGAGACGGCCCTGCAGTCTTCAGCCGTCAGACGGAGAGTGTCACTCTGATCTTCCTCTGGCAGCTCCACACAGGAGGAGCAGGACAGATCCAGCCTGTACTGCACAGTCCTGAGCAGAGACTCTGCGGCCCCCTGCTGGGCACCAGAGGCAGCGCAGCCGTGAACGAACCTCAGCAGCAGGTTCCTGTCAACACTGGGAGAACATTTATTAACAATTAAACAAACAACTTATCCATAAAGCCTCATTGACTGAGAAAATGTTTTTTAATCATAAATATGTTTCTCATCAACTTGGGTCTTATTGCAGTTTTGTCCTTCATTTCTTTCAGTAATTAAGAACAGAGAGCATATCACAAAATAACAACAGATCAAAATGGTTGGAAACAAATGTCCAGTTAAGAAGAGAACTTGTTTTTATTGCTGTTGATTTGGCTTATCGAAACACAGGCTTTTTTTGGCTGTGTGGAGATTTGGGGAAACACGTACAAAACCAACCTACAGCCGTTATGCACATTACAAAAAAGGGCTATAAGAGTTATCAATAATGTTGGATATCTTGAACACACTAATGTATTATTTTTGAAGTCACACATATTGAAGTTCACTGATCTGGTTAAATTTAAAACGGCACAAATCATGTACAGAGCAAGACATAATCTACTTCCTAGGAAATTAAAAACATTGTTCATAGACCGATAGGGTGGGTATAATTTGAGAGGAAATCTACATTTTAAACAACTCAAGGTCAGAACAACTCTGAGAAGTATGAGTAGAACAATCTGTGGGGTGATTTTATGGAATGGTTTGGAGCAGGAGTTAAAACAAAGCAGAAGCATAATTCAGTTTAAAAGGATGTACAGAAACACTTTTTGGGAAAACTATGAGAATGAAGAGAGGTGTATTATTGTATATGTATGTATACATGTAAATGTAAGTAGCAATAACTTGCATAATGATTTAAAGGGAAATCATTGATCAAGTAAGGGGTGGGAATTAATAAGCATTTGCTTCCTCCTACTCCCTTTCGGACACATATGATTTATTATTATTATTAATATGAAGACTTTTTGTTGTTGTTGAATATATCAATATTATCATGAATGTGGTTAAATACTGTATTTTAACAATACAGTATTCTGTTTTTCACATTTTTTATTTGTTATTTTTTTAATCTGTTCGAAATAAAGAATGAAATGAAATGAAAGATATGTCGCTGAAAGTGTTGTGCTGTTCCACCCTGCTGATTCCATTCACTAATATTGGTGTTTGACAGATGGTAAAGTACTGCTGGGCCGAGATAAATACACGTTTAGAACTTTATTTGTCCGACCTGAGTTGAGAAACTTTGTCCAGGTTCCAGAGGATGAACTGTGTTTCCCATGCTGGTATGGAGGTCCACAGGAGGTTCAGTTTGACTCCATCACTGTGTGCGAGGGTGTAGAGCAGAGCCACACAGTCCATTGGGGACATCTCTCTGCAGGTCAGGTTGATCACATGATCCAAGGACCTCAGTAAACTGGGTATAATGGAACTGGCTCGAGCTTTGTAAATCTCCCTGATAGCAGTCAACACAAAGCTGGGACAGGGCCTGAAAGAGTTTTAATGAACACACTTTAGTAAAAGAAGTAACAAAATATATTTAAATGATAAAACAGGATAAACGACTCTATTGATGACCTTTTAAACACAATCCTGTCCAGGTAGGGAAGCAGACGTGTGATGTTCTCCTGTAAGAAAAAGTTCTTCCTCATGTTCACAGTGAGGGTCTGAGCTGATGGATGCTGCAGTAGAAGGTGGAGAAGCTCCCAGTTCAGAGAGAAGGAGGTCAGGTCTCCTCCAAACGTACTCAAGAAGGACAAGGTCAAGTCCTGGTCCTGGAGCTCATGGAGCAGGGAGAGTAGCTGCTGGACATTCTTCTCACTCAGTCTGCAGGAAACAGTGTATGAAGATATGTGAACATTAATATCATCTGCACTAATTATTGTGAGTTTATGAGGCTCCAGAGAGACTTTTACTTGATTTTGAGAGGGCCATCATGGAGCAGCAGTGGTGTGAGACCCAGAGCAGGAACACAGACCTCAGTCAGGTCTAACTGTCTCACTGCCCAGTATCTCAGCAGGGAAGCCAAGCTACTGACAACCTTCAACAACACTCTGTGTGATGGTTGGGCGGTCTGAGGGGAGAGAGAAAGCTCTTCAACAGTCACCTGACAGCCCACTCCCCATCTCCTCACCCAGCCACACAGCAGCAAGGCCATGTCGTTAGAAAGCCTGGAAACAAAGAAAGAGAATTGTACCATCATTTACCTTTATCCCCCAACTGAACATTCAAACTAGACACGATGGCATGATAACAATAAAAGAGTAAGTGTTTAAATGCGCACTTGAGACTGTGTACTTGTGTTGTTCGTCTAAAGAGAGCAAAGGCTCCCTTGACAGACATCTTTCTGGGTTTGAGGATGAGCTCCACATTAGAGCCACACAGCTGGAGAACTCTCCCCACAGACAGGCAGGTTTTCCTGGGTAACTCTCCTGATAGCAGCAGGGTGAACCCTGAGAGCTGCAGCAGAGAGGCCAACCTCTCAGCCTCCTCTCTGGATCTGACAGAGATGAACGTACACACTCTCTGGAAGAACTCTGCACCACAGCTGAAACACAACAACATGGATGAACAGTGAGAAGGCAAAGCTCAAGTACAATAAATGCTGCACTGCCAACCATCTCATCTGCAAGGTCTTTAATCAAGAATACATTTAAAGATAAGAAAATAGGATGAATTAGTCTAAGTCTGTTAGTCAACATGATAAAGCATTGCTCTGTCTGTTGTGCTAATTACTAAACTGAAACATCAGATTTATCTACAGAATATCCATTTATACATTTCAGTTAATCAACTGCTTCCAATGTACTGTGTTTTTTTTTACTAGATCTTTCTAACAAACCTTTCTGAGGAATCCATTTCATATTATAAATATAGAGAATGACTGACCTGATCTGTGAGATATAAGGCAGACACTGCAGCAAAGTCCTCACTTCACTCTCTTCCTCTGAGCAGCCTCTCAGCTCCACTTGTTTCTTCTCTGGTTGGAGTCTCAGCACTTCCAGCAGGATGGAGGTCTTTCTCTCTGAGAGGTCTATGGTCCAGACTGCAGGAGCTGACTGGAGAACAGACTGTAATGATGGAAGGACACTCAGGCCTGATTCAGTCTCATAGTCCTTCAGGTGGGAGGCCAGATCCAGCAGGAAACCACACTGATATTCTTTACCATAATAATATGTGTGATTAAAAGAGAATGTTGGATATGTACACACTGATGATAACAGCTCCAGTGTCTTCTCTCCCGTCTGCTGCTCTCTCTCTGCTGCTGCACAGAACAGAGTCCCAAAGAACTTGACTCCACCTGAGAATCCAATCCAGAAACTGGAACTAGAATTGAACAGTTTGTTATCAGATGATGCCAACAGCAGAGAAAGACTCTGATAGGGAGTGTTTCTGCTAAATGTCTACAAATACCTGCCATTGAGCATAACACAGTAAACTCAATTAACCTCATATTGAAGTAACTATGCTGTTAACAGGATTATATTTGGATTTTGGAAAGCTTTCAGTAAATGAACCTTTTCACAACATGTGTCATCACTTAGCTCTTCTACTGACTCACAACACAGACACTAATCCTGTTTCTCAAATCACTTCTTATTTGCTTCCCAGTGATTCTGTTCACCTGAGGTGATTTGACTTTGTGAATGAGTCTTGTATGTAAAATGATATTCCCAATATAATAATGTAAAAAGTGGAACAACAACATCTAGAGTCACTATCATGTAGAAGAGAACATCACATCATGAAACTGTTCACTTTGCTCCTGAGATAATACACATGTGAATTAAGAGTTTAGTAACACCTCCTCTGTCTCTGATGACTTTAAGTTAGGATTGTTCATGTGTCTGAAATCTTTATTTGAAGCTCACTATACAGTCTTTAGAAGTTTCATTAGAGTCAGTCAAGTTGAATCTAGGATCCATTAAAGAGGTAGATGAATGTAGTATTACTTGATGTGCATTTATACTTTGAATTGCACTTTGATTAATTTAAAACAGAGATGATTTAAAAAGCTGATAGCAGTTTTATCAGCAAGTTTATTTATGTTTGTATGTGTTTTTATTTCTGAATGAGGCATGAGCATGATGGTGCTGCTGTCTCAGAGCTTAAGTTCTCTCATTATGATTCACATCATTTCATTATTCTCAAACTGGTAGAAGACTGTGGTTTTAAATAATGACTGAACTGGGAAATGTTATTCATCTACATCATGTTCAGAAGTGAAGGACTATTGTCTCTTTCTGAAACACTGCCCACAATCAGATGTAATTCATTGTTTTATTTCTTAAGAAATCCACATTATATCATACAATATACATGATCTGTCTGACTGACCTGATCTGTGAGATATAAGGCAGACACTGCAGCAAAGTCCTCACTTCACTCTCTTCATCTGAGCAGCCTCTCAGCTCCACTTGTTTCTTCTCTGGTTGGAGTCTCAGCACTTCCAGCAGGATGGAGGTCTCTCTCTCTGAGAGGTCTATGGTCCAGACTGCAGGAACTGACTGGAGAACAGACTGTAATGATGGAAGGACACTCAGGCCTGTTTTAGTCTCATAGTCCTTCAGGTGGGAGTACAGATCCAGCAGGAAACCACCCTGATCTTCTTCATCATCATCAAATATGTCAGTAAAAGGGAATGTTGGATATGTGCACACTGATGATAACAGCTCCAGTGTCTTCTCTCCTGTCTGCTGCTCTCTCTCTGCTGCTGCACAGAACAGAGTCCCAAAGAACTGGACTCCACCTGAGTCTCCAATCCAGAAACTGGAACTAGAATTGAACAGTTTGTTATCAGATGATGTCAACAGCAGAGAAAGACTCTGATAGGGAGTGTTTCTGCTAAATGTCTACAAATACCTGCCATTGAGCATAACACAGTAAACTCAATTAACCTCATATTGAAGTAACTATGCCGTTAACAGGATTATATTTGGATTTTGGAAAGCTTTCAGTAAATGAACCTTTTCACAACATGTGTCATCACTTAGCTCTTCTACTGACTCACAACACAGACACTAATCCTGTTTCTCAAATCACTTCTTATTTGCTTCCCAGTGATTCTGTTCACCTGAGGGGATTTGACTTTGTGAATGAGTTTTGTATGTAAAATGATATTCCCAATATAATAATGTAAAAAGTGGAACAACAACATCTAGAGTCACTATCATGTAGAAGAGAACATCACATCATGAAACTGTTCACTTTGCTCCTGAGATAATACACATGTGAATTAGAGTTTAGTAACACCTCCTCTGTCTCTGATGACTTTAATTTAGGATTGTTCATGTGTCTGACATCTTTATTTGAAGCTCACTATACAGTCTTTAGAAGTTTCATTAGAGTCAGTCAAGTTTCATCTAGTATCCATCAAAGAGGTAGATGAATGTAGTATTACTTGTTGTGACTTTATACTTTTAATGCACTTTATTTAAATTAAAAGAGATGCAACCTCTTCTATCTGCAATAACATTTGTTTTTGTTACAACTGATTATTGATAAGCTGCAGAGATGATTTAAAAAGCTGATAGCAGTTTTATCAGCAAGTTTATTTATGTTTGTATGTGTCTTTATTCCTGAATGAGGCATGAGCATGATGGTGCTGCTGTCTCAGAGCTTAAGTTCTCTCATTATGATTCACATCTTTTCATTATTCTCAAACAGGTAGAAGACTGTGGTTTTAAATAATGACTGAACTGGGAAATGTTATTCATCGACATCATGTTCAGAAGTGAAGGACTATTGTCTCTTTCTGAAACATTGCCCACAATCAGATGTAATTCATTGTTTTATTTCTTAAGAAATCCACATTATATCATAAAATATACATGATCTGTCTGACTGACCTGATCTGTGAGATATAAGGCAGACACTGCAGCAAAGTCCTCACTTCACTCTCTTCCTCTGAGCAGCCTCTCAGCTCCACGTGTTTCTTCTCTGGTTGGAGTCTCAGCACTTCCAGCAGGATGGAGCTCTTTCTCTCTGAGAGGTCTATGGTCCAGACTGCAGGAGATGACTGGAGAACAGACTGTAATGATGGAAGGACACTCAGACCTGATTCAGTCTCATAGTCCTTCAGGTGGGAGTACAGATCCAGCAGGAAACCACACTCAGGGTTCCTCTTAAAATAATGAGAAACTATGTCGGTTAAAGTTATTGTTTGATATGTGCACACTGATAACAACAGCTGCAGTGTCTTCTCTCCTGTCGGCTGCTCTCTCTTTGCTGCTGCACAGAACAGAGTCCCAAAGAACTGGAGTTCACCTGAAGGATCTGATAACTGAGGCACAAAACTGAAAACATAAGGAATCAAGAGATTGTGATGTTAGGTTTCTATCAAATACAAAATTTTCTCCATCAGCTGTGGTTTAAATGATGTTAAATTGAATCTGCATGCACCAAGATTCAAAATAAATGAAGCAGCTTATTTTGAAAAAGATTACCATTTACCTGAGCTGTGAGATATAAGGCAGACACTGCAGCAAAGTCCTCACTTCCCTCTCTTCATATGAGCAGCCTCTCAGCTCCACGTGTTTCTTCTCTGGTTGGAGTCTCAGCACTTCCAGCAGGATGGAGCTCTTTCTCTCTGAGAGGTCTATGGTCCAGACTGCAGGAGATGACTGGAAAAATGGCTTCAGTTGAATGACAGCTGAACTCTCTTGAGTTTTTAGATGTTGATAAAAATCCAGAAGGATGTTATGCATCTCAGTGTTAAAAGAAAACAGAGAGATGAGGTTGTTCACTTCATTTTGAGAGCTTTCTCCTTGAATGAGATTAGCTGCTCTCAGGCATAAATCCAGAAGCAGCTGCTTTTCTTCTCTCTTCAGTGTCTCATAGCATCGCTCCTGGTCCTGTAATCCTGGACCTCTGTGGGTCCTCCTGAAGCTGCATGATAACAAACACATGTTTCATTGCATGTACTATAGAACTGTATAAACTTTACATGTAAAACAAAGTTACACCTGTTAATACTGTCCTAATGAGAGTACAATTCCGGATGTCAACATAAGAGATCAAAGTTCAGATTCAACTGACACAAAGAGCCTTGCCTGATTCTAAAAAACGCAGATGCAGTACTTGTTGTTTCATTCAAACTATGTTTATTGTCTATTTATAGTTTTTAAGAATGCTGACTAATAAGTGTTAAAAATAAATGGTGAAAAAAACATCAGCATTTAAATTGCTGCATTGAATAATATATAAGACATACATTATATAAATGATATTGTTTAAATAAATTCCCGTGAAGTTTGGAAGCTAAAGATGTGTACGTGGTTCGTGGGTCGGAGGGGGGGTGCATCCCACCACACAGAAACATAAGCTTCATACCTGAGTGAGCTGACGTATGGCAGAGCCTCTAGCAGAGTCTCACACAGACTGTGGCAGTCAGGCTTCTCCCTCTCCCAGTGGAGGCAGATTTTAACCTTCTTACTTATCTTCTGCAGGACTGTCACTGCTCTTTCAAACAGCTTTCTTTCCCCCTCCACTGGAAGGTGCAACTGATTTCCATCAAGGCCAAGTAAGGTGATGTAGTCCATCTCCCCTTCGCTGAGAAGGAAGATCTCCCACAGCTGCCGTGGCAGAGAATCACACCTGCAATATGAAGAATAATCAGCTATCGTTTCCTCATTACTTCTGTATATATATTAAAGGTTACAACTTTGAACAATTACATTCTACCTAATTAGATGTGTTTTAACGTTAGCAGTAATAATAACTGCTCATCCATACCATTGGACATTTTGAAGGCATCCTAATAGTGGTCTCATTCCTTGTTGTGATATCGTGACGTCCTCAAGGTTCAGCCATATTTTCCTCTCCTTAGACTGAGTGATCACATAGGCCACAGCACAGCAGGGGTAAGGATCGAGACTCTCTTCACTGAGATCAAGATGGAAGTCCAGTTTTTCCAGAAGGTCGATGCATGTTTCAGGACACTGGGACTCATACAAGCACTGGCATAGGAACAGTATGCGCCCACTGTCCTCAGTATCAGGCTCATCGTTTCCACACAGACTAGGAAGGAATGTGGATATCACTTCCTTGAAGAACCAGTTTGATGTATTCTTGAGCTCCTCAGCAGGAATCAGATACTCCATCAAACTAAGGCTCTTCTCAGTCAACAATCTACACATGTAAGGGATCAGATGTTTCATGTGTTTCTTCTCCTCAGTGAGGCACTGCTGAAAAACATTACTGATTAAATCTGGATTCTTCAAGAGCCACAGTGCTGCAAAAAACTCCTGCATTGTGTAATGGAGAAATGCATAGGTGGTTATTCTCTCAGTAGGGGCGACTTTGATAACAAGTGATTTGAGCAAGGAGAGGACACAGCTGTCTCCAGAGGGACGTAGTGTCAAGTTCACAGTTTTTCCTTCAGTTGCACGAAAAGCAACCTCAGCCAGAGACAGTATCTCCTTACTCTTGCTTTCGATGAAGGCATCTAGGTGAATGTAATTTGTGTTGCTGTTTCTTTCAAGGCAAAAACGGAAAATGTTGATGTAGATATCAGTTATACAGCAAGGCTTTTGAAAGTCCTCTGATGTCTCAAATGAAAAGCATGCGGCCACCATCAGTGCATACATCGGTACATGGCAAAGCGTTAACAACTCCAAGTTGCTCAAAACCCTCTCCTTTCTTTCACGTAGCATCCTAGATATGTATGTTTTTATGGTCTGCTCACTAAAGCCTTTCACTTCCACTCTGAGAAAGTCCTCAGAAAGAAGGTGGTCTTCATCAGCTGGTCTGCAAGTCAAAACGACCTTGGAGTCCTGTAGCCAATCTTTATTTACAAGTTTCTGCACTACTGGTGAAGACAGATCTGTGATTCCATCAAAAATGAGTGTAACATTGTCAGAGTTATTCTTTATGTCCTGTAAGACCTCGTCTTTGCCTTCATCTGGCTCACTGAACTCATTGAAGAGAAGGTCCTCCAGGCTCTTGATGTTGGATATTTTTCTCATGTCAAAGTAAAACATGTAGTTTAGCTCCTTGTCATCTTTTTCTGTCCAGAGTTTTAACATTTCATGAGTGAGTGCTGTCTTTCCAATCCCAGACTTACCAACCAAGAGTATGTTTTTATCTGTTTTAAGCAGGTCACTGGGAGAAATGTCTGCTTTGTCCTTAGGGATGTAGGTCCCTAGCTTTTTAGAACGGCTCATCTTGCTTTTCTTGTTCTTACATTTCTTTATTTTAGAGGGAGAATCACTTCCTTGTGTGTCCAATACAAGTGACATGTACGACAGATCAGGCTTGCTGTTTTCTTCAAACAGATCTTTGTTTGCCGTCCAAAAGTCTTTTGATATTTTTTGTGCTTTTGACTTCAACTTTGCCTGGTAACGGTGGCACGGTGTTGGGGCTAAAATAAAAACAACAGTGAGTAAGTCAATAAATATTGTAAATTGCATGCTGTACCCTCATACTAAATAGTGGATCAATATTTCCAGATGACACAGCCCATCAAACATCAGCATGAAGACAGGACACACTTTCTATATTAGTTATAAAACTATATATTACATACCTTGTAGGTAGTTGTTTCCCATTTCTGTGTCTTCCTTGAAAGGGAAGCAGCTGATCCAGTGGTGCAGGTCAAACGTCCTGCTCTCAGCAGAAGCTACAGTCTGTTTCTCAGGGAGAAGAGATGTCCTCCCCAGGGTCCTCTTCCTTGTTATGTCAATAATTTTGAGGAATTCATAGCTGGCTGCTTCCCCCTTTTTGGTTACAGAGTCTAGAAGTTTTCTGTTTTTATCGTAGTCATTCCCTTCTGCTTGTATTCTGCTGACCTCTTCATCGCGTAACACTCCTTGCTGATTCAAGTTCTCTAGAATCACTGACAGATTCTTTAATGTTTTCACAAGGTGGATTCTGGCCCCCCTGACGTACTCTAAAGCTGACTGTGTTGTAGAAGCCATGTTTCATGACTTCGGTGTCTTCTGCTTCAACTTCAATGACCTAGAGAACAAAAGAATGGTTGAATGAAATGTAATATGAACTCTTATGTTTAACATCCAAAAAAATACATAAATCTGTACATCTAAAAGGAATAAAATTAATTCAGGGCAGATAATAACAGCAGGAGGATTTGGCGTCAATGGTACCGTTTTTCTCATTGGCTCACTTCTTTAAACAGTCTTGACCTTCTCTTAACTCTATGTGCAATGGTTACAACTTTTTCATCACAACTCTTTTGCTCGTATGAAAATTAAGTAACTCACACAAAACATAGAATTCATGCCAACAAGTTGTTATTGTGTCAGTAAATGTGCTAATACAAACAAAAATGGATAGCTGTTTTGTCCCAGTGTGAACAGTACTAGTCAAAACAGTAAGATGCTTTTTCACCACCAGTCAACACTTGAGATGTTCTAACATACAAGTCTCTGAACATATAAATCATCCATACATGTCACCAACAATACAACACGACACCAGAACAAATTGTAAACAGAAACATGCAAGCTGTATATCAGAGACACTTACACTGAGGCCTTTAGGTCCACACTGATGAAAGACTTTGTTGTCATATATTTCATTAGCCTAGGTTTTTTAGCTTTTACGGTTCTTTTTTATATTAATATTGTAATTAGGTGTAAATGCTTGCTAACGAAAAAGCTATGTTTCTAAGCTAAATTGTGCAGCATCAAGAGGGTTTTAACCGTTAAGGAAACCAGCTGCCTGTTACAAGTACAAACTACTATGCTTACTTTAACGTTTATTATCCGTAAAGCTCAAATACAACGTACACATTTACAAATAAGAGTTAATAAGTAGTATAATTTCCTCTTTAAATAAATAGGTAACTGTTAGCTCGGCAGTTTGTAAATCCAGGAGGTACGTCATTAGAACCGTTAACTTTATGCTATATTGCTCTAAGCTACAGTTAGCTAATTTATCACATAATAAACAACAACATATTCGGAAAATACTTACATTACTCATTATATTTTTGTGGTCATATATTTCATTAGCCTACATTTATTAGCTTTTACGGTTCTTTTTTATGTTAAAATGTAAATTGGGTGTAGATGCTTGCTAACAAAAAGCTATGTTAATTAGCTAAATTGTGAAATCGTCAAGAGGGTTTTAACCGTTAAGGAAAACCGTTAGCTGTCTGTTACAAGTACAAACTATTATGTTTACGTTAACGTTTATTACCCTTAAACGTCAAATACAAGGTACACATTTACAACTATGAGTTTATTAGTAGTGTAATTTCCTCTTTAAATAAATAGGAAACTGTTAGCTTGGCAGTTTGTAAATCCATCAGTGACGTCATTAGAACCGTTAACGT